CATGCAATCCGAGTTGTCCTGGATTATTTTGGCTATGACTGGGGATAGGAGAGGGGGTGGGGGAGGTAGAGTAGACCTGGAGTCCAGTGGAGTAGGAAGATGTCTCCGAGACAGCCTGGGGGTGCATGGGGGCGGAGTCTTGTGCAGTAAAAGGGCAGTGTTTGTTTAGTGGTGATGTAAAGAGATCTATTTTGGGTTTGCCCCATTGAGTGTGATGGTTTGAATTGTTTGGAGTGTAGGTGCCACTCGTGATTGTTTTTGGATGATCTGCTCAGGGAGTCTGGTAGTGTATTGTCCTGTCCTGGGAGGTGAATGGCCGTGAGAAGGACATTTCTCTGAATGCACCATTCCCATAAGCGTGTCGAAATGCAGAGTAGTGTTTGTGAGCGTGTTCCCTCTTGTTTGTTGATATAATATTTGACCGCAGTGTTGTCGGTTACAATTTGGACCATGCGGTTGGATATAATGCGGGTGAAAGCATGAAGAGCTTCTCCACCGCCATCAGCTCAAGGGTATTGATGTGGAAAATGGCGGTCCTGAGGGGACCAATGGACACTGACTTTGAAGTCCTTGAGTGAGTTGGAAGCCTGAGTTGGAAGCGTCTGTTGTGAGGGACATAGAAGGACGGGGTTGGATGAATGGCATCCCCGATTGAACATTGTACTCTTTTGTCCACCATGATAGGGACTGGAGGACACTGTGTGGGGAGTGTAGGACCCGGGACTGGGGGTCACGGAGAGGATCAAATGTTTTGGGACCTCATCCAAAAAGGGGTGTATGGAGTGACGTTGGTAGTAAAAGACATGTGGCCAAGGATAGACTGGATGGCCCAAGTGGAGGAGCTTGGGAGCGTTGGAGGTTGAAGATGGCTCATTGTAGGTTGGAGAGGCAGTCTTCTGGGGGGAAGGCTCTCTGCATCCTGGAGTCTATGACAGCTCGTATGAATTGGATGTGTTGTGTTGGGCAGAGAAGAGATTTTTCTTGGTTTATGACCAGGCCAAGGTCCTTGTGATAAGCGAAATGGAAGAGAATTGAATGGAAAATTGTTATGTTGAACTGTAAAAGTTAGGAATCTGAGGTGTGATTGTCTATTTGTGATGCGAAAGTAAGCATCCTTGAAATGCACCGTTGCTAGGCAAGACTCCTCTGGATTGAAGGGGAGTATGTTGGGAAGAGTGACCATGCGGAATTTACGTGGTGTTTCCCAAGGTCGAAAATGGGACGTAGTCCTCCATCTCTTTTGTCTACTAGAAAGTAGCGAGAGAAGAAACAAGAGGTGGCTTCATGTGATGGTATGGGGAAAATAGCTCCTTTGTGAAGTAGAGAGTTAATTTCTTTCCAGATGGTATGGAAAGGTTGGGTGAGGAAGATGTTTCCTACAGGGGTGTAGGTATCAAATTGTATAGCATATCCCCTGTCAATTATGTCCAGGACCCAGGTGTCTGTAGTAATAGTCTGTCAAGCCGGTAGGAAGTAATGTAGTCTGTCTAAATATGTAAGTGGTTGAGTTGGAGTGGGGAAGGGGGGTGGTTAACGTTATAGTAAAAATGATGTTTATTGTTGTTAGTGGGTCTGATACCACGGTACTGACCTCTGGAGGGAAGAAGGGGTCGTGTCAAAGTTGTAGAGGGGGCATATGGTGTTTGCCATCCTCTATAGAAGGAAGTGTTGAAAGGTCTGTTGTAGTATTGGGGACGGTAATAATAAGAGCCCCAGCGTTGGCGTTGGTAGGTGTATGGCTGCTGGTCATACTTGTAGACTATTTGTTTCATCTTGTGTTAGTGTTGTAGTTGTGAGTCAGTTTCAGGATTAAAGAGTCCTGCTTCATCCATTGGGAAGTCTCCAATAAGTGTGTATTGAGATAGGGAAAAAATAGCAGCTCGAAACCAGGCATGGCGACGAAGGGCCACTGAGCCTGCTATGAGTTTGACTGAGGTGTCAGCTGTGTGCTTTGCAAGGTCTTTTGAAGGCCAGATAACAGGAGAGCTTCCTGTTTAAAGGCTTTAGCCAAAGGTTGTTCAGATGGAGATAGTAAGTCTAGATAAGGAGAGGTTTTGTTCCATAGAAAAGTTTATAGACACTCATATAGGCTCCATAATGGGCTATGCATGCAAAAAGGCATGCTGAGGAATAAATATTTTTATTTATTTGTTTATTTGCCATGGAGTGCAATTTTTTCTTTTTCTTTTCTTTTTTCTTTATTAGAAGGGAAAGTCTGGTTTTTCTGTATAGGCTTTGGTTGAGCATCAGTTAGTATAGAGTTTGCTTGGGCATCTTAGATAGCCATGAAGCTGAAGAGAGATCAATACAATAAAAAAAATTTTTTTTAATTTAAATTTTATTTCATTATTATTATTATTATTATTGTTCCTTTAGGAGTTGCTGGAACCATAGGCACAGCAGCTCCTGTATTCTTAAAAATTTTGAGAAGATAGGGCAAGGTGAGCAACACAGTGGATGTGGGGGTTTGTTGCTCAATAGAGGAGAGACATGGGTCTGCAATTGTATCTGATGGTTCTAGTGCAGAAAGGTTGAGGGCTCTGGCAAGTCTTATTAGGAGGGCTGAGAATTTTTGAAATCCTCTTAACTGTTGGGGAGAGGGGTCAGGGTCTGGGATGGGATCCTGAATAAATGGCTGAGGTTCTGGTTCAGTTTGTTCTTCTGGAGGATGAGAGAGTGTGGCAGTAGGAGGTGCATGTGGGGGCTGTGGGTATTTATCCGGTGGATGAGCATTGAAGCCTTTGTTGTGATATATAGTGATCAGGGGAGAGAGAATGAGCCCTCTTGGGAGGAGGGATGGGGGAAGTCTTAAACAGAGGCTGGATGGCCATCTGTCAGGGGTGATTTGAATGTAATATTACATTTGAATGCAATATTCCTGCTTCTTGGCAGGGGGTTGGACTGGATGGCCCATGAGGTCCCTTCCAACTCTTTGATTCTATGATTCTATGGGGGATGGTTTGCCAAAGGAGAGGGAGAGCAATAGCGGTGCCGGGAGGGCTGTGCTGATGAAATGGGATGGATGGAGGGAGGAGTCTCCCGCGGTACCGGGGACTCTGGCAAGTCTGGGAAAAGCGGTGGGGAGGGCTGAGAGGCAGGAAGGGGAGGGGGGGAAATGGAGGGATCGGCTGTAGGTTGAGTTTCTAGCTCAAGATGAGGAGCCAAGAGTTCAAGGGGGAGGAGGGGGGAGGGATCCTCCATTTGGAGGATAGTTGGGGGAGGCTCCTGTAACTGGAGCATGGAACCGGGAAGCTGGGGCATCGGTTCCAGTGCAGGGGGACTCAAGGGCTGAGTGCCAGTGAGTTGCCATCCCTTTTTTTGATTTATTTGCTTTTTCCTTTGATTTAGCAGACCTCATGGTTTGTTTGAGGGTTTTTTTTTCTTTCTTTCTTTTGGCAGCTCCGCTAGGGAAGCACTTGCCGTAGTTGAGTCACGCCTATCCCCAGCATGTGGGGAGGGAGGCTGAAAAGGCTCTTGCAAAGGGGAGGACTGGGTGAGGAAGGGAGCCGTTTGCAGCGGCAAAGCACATTCATACAGGAGGGCTTTAGCAGTTGTTCATTCGTTCAGTCGTCTCCGACTCTTCGTGACCTCATGGACCAGCCCACGCCAGAGCTCCCTGTCGGCCGTTACCACCCCCAGCTCCTTCAAGGTCAGTCCAGTCACTTCAAGGATGCCATCCATCCATCTTGCCCTTGGTCGGCCCCTCTTCCTTTTACCTTCCACTTTCCCCAGCATAATTGTCTTCACTAGGCTTTGCTGTCTCCTCATGATGTGGCCAAAAGTACTTCAACTTTGTCTCTAGTATCCTTCCCTCCAATGAGCAGTCGGGCTTTATTTCCTGGAGGATGGACTGGTTGGATCTTCTCGCAGTCCAAGGCACTCTCAGCACTTTCCTCCAACACCACAGTCAAAAGCATCGATCTTCCTTCGCTCAGCCTTCCCTAAGGTCCAGCTCTCACATCCGTAGGTGACTACAGGGAATACCATGGCTTTGACTAGGCGGATCTTTGTTGCCAGTCTGATGTCTCTACTCTTTACTATTTTATCGAAATTGGACATTGCTCTCCTCCCAAGAAGTAAGCGTCTTCTGATTTCCTGGCTACAGTCTGCATCTGCAGTAATCTTTGCACCTAGAAATACAAAGTCTGTCACGGCCTCCACGGTTTCTCCCTCTATTTTCCAGTTGTCAATAATTCTTGTTGCCATAATCTTGGTTTTTTTGACGTTTAGTTGGGAGTCTCTCCCAAGTTTTGAGTCTCTCCCAAACAAAAGGAGGCATTTAATATGCCTATCAGCCTCCGGGAGATTACCTCCACAGGCTGAGCAGTTTCTTTCTTTCTTTCTTTTTAAATAAAATAAAGGGAAGATATTCTAGCCTGAAAAGAGTCGTCAGCCAGTCCGTGGTCGGAGTGGAGAAGGTAGGCAATAGAGGAAGAACAGTCCAATAGGTGAAATAAGTCAGAGAAGAAGTTCGTAGATGCTGCATGTTTAGCGCGGAAAAAGGAACTACCGGCCAAGCCACATTTGGCGGCATATATACGGGGGGGGGGGGGGGGGGGGGGGGGGGGGGGGGGGGGCAGGGGATGGGCGGGGCTTACATATATTCTTAAAATAATCATTAAAAAATTGATTAAAACTCTAGAATGTTCCGGATTGCTGCGCAGGCGCACAGGAAAACCCATGGGTGCGCATTTCACAGATGACACGACGAGGAATAATAATAATATAATCTCAATCCAGTTACTGGGAGCACCGGGAAATTTCTCAGTTGTACTTTGTCTAGGAAACCCACATTGGTGGTGTCAAAAATCCTACCAATTTGACTCATCCGATGCACAGAACAGAGGAAAAGACAGACTGAGAAACTGCCCGGAAATGAAACGGGAGAAGCCTTGAGGCAACAGAGCCATGTGACGCTTCCCAAACGGCTGTCTGTTAATGCCAGGAATAGAACAGCCATAAACCGAGCTGGGAAGAACACACACCCAGCCGACACTTACACGTTCCTCAAGCCGTGGGTCCCGTTTGGGCAGATGAGGTACAGCGAAGGGAGGGAGACGATGCCTAGCTTCTCGAGGAAGACGGGGTCGGAGTCCAGCGCTCGCTTGACCACTACGTTGTCGTACGGAATGAGGTCCAGGATCACCTGCAGAGAAACAAAGGGAGCCATGCCATATGAGAGGAGGCAATGGATTCTCTGTGGGGACAGCACCAAACACGCAGTTCACATCAACCATGAGGAAGTTGCCTTCTTGGAAACCCACCCCAATAAATGCAACAGGATGCAGTGACTACATGACTGGAGATGCATTTTAAAATTGTCCCTGTTCCTACTTACATACAAATTAAACTTAACAATGTAAGGGACAGAGAGCTTCATCTATGCTGATGATCGTGCCATTACCACTCAAACAGGGAGCTTTGAGATGGTAGAACAGAAGCTCTCTGAAGCTCTACGTGCTCTTACTGCCTACTACAGGGAAAACCAGCTGATCCCTAACCCATCTAAAACACAGACATGTGCCTTTCATCTCAAGAACAGAGAAGCATCCCGAGCTCTGAAGATCACCTGGGAAGGAATCCCACTGGAGCATTGCAGCGCACCCAAATACCTGGGAGGAGTCACTCTGGACCGTGCCCTGACCTACAAGAAGCACTGCCTGAATATCAAGCAAAAAGTGGGCGCTAGGAATAATATCATACAAAAGCTGACTGGTACAACCTGGGGATCACAACCATATACAGTGAAGACATCTGCCCTTGCACTATGCTGAGTATGCATGCCCGGTGTGGAACACATCTCATCATGCTAAAACGGTGGATGTGGCTCTTAATGAGACATGTTATATTATATTGTATACATATTATAATATATTGTATACGCATTATCACGGGGTGTCTGCACCCTACACCACTGGAGAAATTACACTGTTTAGCCGGTATTGCACCACCTGACATTCGCCTTTCACAATAGTGAAAGGACCAAGGCAGAGACATCTCCAGCTCATCCCTTGTTTGGGTATCAGCCAGCACGTCAATGACTTAAATCAAGACATAGTTTTCTAAGATCTACAGAGACACTCACTGGAACACCTCAGCAAGCAAGAGTCCAAAAGTGGCAGGCTCAAACCAGTGGCTGATACCAGATGAGAGACTCCCCCCTGGACACACAGAGGACTGGGCGACTTGGAAGGCGCTGAACAGACTGCGCTCCGGCACCACGAAATGCAGAGCCAACCTCCAGAAATGGGGCCACAAAGTGGAATCCACGACATGCAAGTGTGGAGAAGAGCAAACCACTGACCACCTGCTGCAATGCACCTTGAGCCCTGCCACATGCACCAGGGAGGACCTCCTTGCGGCAACACCAGAGGCACTCCAAGGGGCCAGATACTGGTCAAAGGACATTTAATCAACTACCAAGCTTGCAAACTTTGTGTTTTGGATGTTTTGTTTGTTTTGTTGTCAGAAATGTAATACAATTGTTTGCCCCTGACACGATAAATAAATAACTTAAGAACCAACCTAAAGAACCAATCTTGTTTGTAACCTGGGGCTGCCTGCCTATATGAATAGAATTCTACAATCATAGAGTTGGAAGAGACCTCGTGGGCCACCCAGTCCAACTCCTTTCCTCCAAGAAGCAGGAAAATAACATTCAAAGCACCCCCGAAAGATGGCCATCCAGTTTCTAAGCCTCCAAAGAAGGAGCCTCCACCACACTCCAGGGCAGAGAGTTCCACTGCTGAACAGCTCTCTCTCACAGTCAGGAAGTTCTTCATGTTCAGGTGGAATCTCCTTTCCTGTTGTTTGAAGCCATTGTTCCAGTGCGTCCCTGTGTCCAGGGCAGCAGAAAACAAGCTTGCTCCCTCCTCCCTATGATTTCTCCTCATTTGAAGAGAGATGCTGAGTTTAAGCTGGAATGTGTCCAGAGGAGGGCGACTCAAAGGATCAAGGGTCTGGAGAACAACCCTATGAGGAGCGGCTTAAGGAGCTGGGCATGTTTAGCCTGAAAAAGAGAAGGCTGAGAGGAGACATGTTGACAAGCTGGAATGTGTCCAGAGGAGGGCGACTCAAAGGATCAAGGGTCTGGAGAACAAGCCCTATGAGGAGCGGCTTAAGGAGCTGGGCATGTTTAGCCTGAAAAAGAGAAGGCTGAGAAGAGACATGTTGACAAGCTGGAATGTGTCCAGAGGAGGGCGACTCAAAGGATCAAAGGTCTGGAGAACAAGCCCTATGAGGAGTGGCTTAAGGAGCTGGGCATGTTTAGCCTTCAGAAGAGAAGGCTAAGAGGAGACAGGATGGCCATGTATAAATATGTGAAAGGATGCCTAAATGCCTTCAGGACAGGCCAAAACGATGAAAAACAACATTACCTCTCTCCCGACGTAGGAGTTCTCACTCTCAAAAATAATGGCAGTATAATGCTGGATCTTCTTATCAAAAAGTGTAAACATTTCTTCTGGCCTATATTTAAAAGAGAGGGAGAGAAAGAGAGAGCGAAGGCATTTTACATGGGCAACAATATAGTAATATATAATACCAATATTGCGCTGTGCCAATATTATAATATATTGTATACACATATAATATTGTTAACATTATAATGCAATACAATATAATACTACTAATAATAACACAATATAATTATATATTTTACTAGCCGTCCCCTGCCACACGTTGCTGTGGCCCACATGGGGGTTCTGTGTGGTAGGTGTAGCTTAATTCTATCGTTGGTGGGGTTCAGAATGCTCTGTGATTATGGGTGAACTGTAAATCCCGGCAAGTACAACTCCCAAATGTCAAGATTCTATTTTCTCCAAACTCCACCAGTGTTCACATTTGGGCATATTGAGTATTTGTGTAGAGTTTGGTCCAGATCCATCATTGTTTGAGTCCACAGCGCTCTGCCTGGATGTAGGTGAACTATAACTCCCACACCAAAGGACACTGCCCACCAAACCCTCTCAGTATTTTCTGTTGGTCATGGGAGAACTGTGTGCCAAGTTTGGTTCAATTCCATCGTTGTTGGGGTTCAGAATGCTCTTTGATTATAGGTGAACTTTAAATCCCAGCAACTACAACTCCCAAATGAAAAAATCATAATTTTTGGAGTGATGGTCACTCCTTGTGTTGTGAGACGTTTTGTTGCCAAATTTGGTGTGATTTCATTCATTGGTTCTTTTGTTTTTAAGGAACTCATTATGCACAGAGCATATATATATATATATATATATATATATAGATAGATATAGATATTACATGCAATATTACTAATAATATTACAGTATAGTGATATAGTACAATATAGTAACATATAATTCTAATACTGTGCTATGCTAATATAATATATTGTATACACATAATATTGATAATATTATAATGTAATACAATATAATACTAATAGTAATACAATATAATATTTTTCTATTTCATATTACAAGTAATATTAATAATATTACAGTATAGTGGTATAATACAATATAGTAATCTATAATACTAATATTGTGCTATGCTAATAATGTAATATATTGTATGTACATATAACTTGTAAGCCTCTCTGAGTCCCCTTCGGGGTGAGAAGGGCGGCATATAAATGTTGCAAATAAATAAATAAATAAAAACAGTGATTTTCCTGACTGAGGATTTGCAGAGAGAGATGTATTCTCTGGATAATTTATTTATTATTTATTTATTTACGGGATTTACGGCTCACAAGATATATATGCATACAATATATTATATTATTAGCATAGTACAATATCAGTATGATATATTACTATATTGTACTATACCATTATATTGTAATATTATTAGTAATAAGATAAGTAACAAGATAAATATTATATGTATATATAATATACTATATTATTAGCCTAGTACAATATCAGTATTATATATTACTATATTGTATTATACCATTATATTATAATATTATTAGCAATATTACATGTAGTATAAATATATATAATTATAATATTTAATTATTATTATTAGTATTGTATTACATTATAATATTATAAATATTATATATACATACAACATATATTATTAGCGTAGTACAATATCAGTATTAAATATTACTATGTTGTACTATACCATTATATTGTATTATTATTATTAGTAATAGTAGTAATAAGCAATTGGATCCTCAAAAGAAGTAAGAACCTGTGGCACTCACACAATTGGTTCCAAAGGGGGACAAGCGGGTGGTTTGGCTTCCTGGGAATGATTCTGCAGGAAATCGATCATGCTCTGGCGAACCGTGGGAAGTTCCCGGTCGGAACCTGTCCGGAAAGAGAAGAGAAATGCATTGGCACCAGACCCAGATCCAAAATACCATGTTCACTCGAGTCTAATGCACCACTGAATTAATTTTGTAATTTGGCCAAAAAAAAAGGGGGGGGGGGTGAGCGTTAGATTCAAGTAAATAGGACAATATATGTATTATGTTTCATTTGTCTTGACACCTGGGGAAAAGAACACCCATCACCTGGGAAATTGCCTTACCGAGTTGGCTTTCTCCGGTCGTGAACTCCTTCGTAAATGCTCTAAAATACTGGGGGAAAGAAAATGGGAGAAAGAGTTATGTGCTTAGAAATGCCAATATGGCTCATAAGAAAGGGGAAAACCCAGGGAAAGATATTTGAGTGAATATACCTGGAGGCTTGGTACATGGTTCTTGGCACATGAAACTTGGCGTTATCCAGACGTTGCCTCAACTGAAGCAATTGTCTCCTCCACAAATCATTATAAACCCTTCCCCGATTCCATAACTGCAAGGAACACATTCTTTCTTAGTTTTGGTTTATCTTTCTGCTGTTGGTGCTCATCTCCATTTCTAAGCCGAAGGGCCGGCATTGTCCATAGACAGCTCCAAGGTCATGTGGCTGGCATGACTTCACCTTCCCAGCAGAGCGGTACCTATTCATCTACTCATATTTGCATGTTTCAGACCTGCTACTGTGCTACTGGGGGCTCCATGAACCTTATATATATTATATCTATTATGAGCTTATATATTACAAGCCTTATATATTATATTGTTATGAGCCTCCTGAAAAATCATCATGCTAGGGCTCAAGTCTTATTTTCAGGGAAATAAGTTATTAGTCATAATAATAATAAAAAAACTTTATTTATACCCCGCTATCATCTCCCCAAGGGACTCGGTGCAGCTTACATGAGGCCGAGCCCAGAACACATCAATAACAAAAACAATAACAACAAGCAATGCAAAACAATTAAAATAAATCTCATAAACAAAAATAAGCAATAAACATGAACAATAGCACAACAAACATTTATAAACCTATGGCTGGACCACATGTAATAATTAAAATTTTAAAAATATTTTTTTAATAATAATTTAATTTTTTTTAAATAATTAAATAATTAAAATTTAAAAAAATGCTGGGCGTGAACAGGGAAGATATAACTGGGATAGAATATTCAGAGAGGGATGGGGTGTGTAGACCGTCCCCAAGTTACAAATAGTACAGACCATCCCCGAGTTACAAACATTCAACTTACAAATGACTGCTAGTTCCAAATTGGGTTGAGACAACAGGAAGTGAGAGAAATCTCTCTCTCGGATGGGAAATTCACTCCTCAAAGAATTATTATTCTGGGGAAAAGGGGTTTCGACTGAAGCTTTATCTCCAATCCTTGTTTCCATAACAAGCCATGTTTTCCAAAAGCCGACTTCTCGGTGCTTATTAGTCACTTACCCTGAAAGTGGGGTAATACTGGATCCCATACTCTTTGCACGTCTCATAGTTCGCCTCGTCCCCGCAGTCCAGGACTCCGATTCGGATGGCACGTTCCCAATCTGAAAGAGAAACAGTTTCAGACCTTATTTACAGCAGACTTGGGGGAGAACTTCTGAAACTACAGCTCCTGGGATGCCAGGGCGTCGAGCCATGGCGGCTCAAGTGGGATCAAATGGCATTGACACCATAGTGGAGTGCCATCAGCAGGGTTTGGTACCTGGGCCTGGTTTGGTTCAACTTCTTTATTAATGACTTAGATGAAGAGTGAGAAGGCATGATCATCAGGTTTGCTGATGACACCAAATTGGGAGGGACAGCCAATACTCCAGAAGGGGAACATGAGCCAGGATTGTCATACATCAGCTAAAAAGGCCTATGGGATTTTGGACTGTACCAACAGGAGTCTAGTGCCTAGATCCAGGAAAGTCTATTCTGCCTTGGTCAGACCACGTTACCTGGAATTACAGTGTGTCCCATTCTGGGCACTGCAATTGAAGGGAGATGCTGAGTCTAAGCTGGAAGGTGTCCAGAGGAGGGCAACTCAAAGGATCAAGAGTCTGGAGAACAAGCCCTATGAGGAGCGGCTGAAAGAGCTGGGCATGTTTAGCCTGCATAAGAGAAGGCTGAGAGGAGACATGATGAGGGCCATGGATCAAGAGGTGAGGGGACGTCCTAGGGAGGAGGGAGAAAGCTTGTTTTCTAATGCCCTGGAGACAAGAACACAATGGAGGAATTGCTTCAAACTGCAGGAAAGAAAGGAGATTCCACCTGAATATGAAGTGTGTGTGTGTGTGTGTGTGTATATGTATATGTGTGTGTGTGTATATATATGTGTATATATATATATATATATATATATCATATGTCATCAGTTGGGAGGCCCCTCCTCCCTCTGACCAGAATGGAGACAGAGGGGAGCAGAAGACAGTTCCATCTTGTCTTTACTAATAATATAATATAGTATATTGTAGATACATATAATATTTATAATATTATAATGTAATGCAATATAATACTAGTAATAATAATACAATATTATAATTATATATTTACAGTACATGTAATATTACTAATAATATTACAATATAATGGTATGGTGCAATGTAGTAATATATAATACTGATAATGTACTATGCTAATAATATAATATATTGTATGCATATATATCTTGTAAGTCGCTCTGAGTCCCCTTCGGGGTGAGAAGGGCAGCACCCAACTAAAATGATCAAGGGTCTGGAGAACAAGCCCTATGAGGAGCGGCTTAAGGAGCTGGGCATGTTTAGCCTGAAGAAGAGAAGGCTGAGAGGAGATATGATAGCCACGTATAAATATGTGAGAGGAAGCCACAGGGAGGAGGGAGCAAGCTTCCTTTCTGCTTCCCTGGAGACTAGGACGCGGAACAATGGCTTCAAACTACAAGAGAGGAGATTCCATCTGAACATGAGGAAGAACTTCCTGACTGTGAGAGCCGTTCAGCAGTGGAACTCTCTGCCCCGGAGTGTGGTGGAGGCTCCTTCTTTGGAAGCTTTTAAACAGAGGCTGGATGGTCATCTGTCAGGGGTGATTTGAATGCAATATTCCTGCTTCTTGGCAGAATGGGGTTGGACTGCATGGCCCATGAAGTCTCTTCCAACTCTTTGATTCTATGATTCTATATAAATGTCGTAAATAAATAAATAAAGATTGCTCCAGGCACTGCCAGGCAATCAAATGCTAATCAAGGTGGTCAGTTGAAACATTCACCCCTAGCTCCAACAGACAAGAGTTCTTTGTCCCACTCTGGTCATTCCACAGATATATAAACCCTTTTTCCTAGTTCCAACAGACCTCACTACCTCTGAGGATGTTTGCCATAGATGCAGGCGAAACGTCAGAGGAGAAATGCCATATAGCCCGAAAAAACCTACAACAACCCAATAAATAAATAAATAAACTTCCTAACTGTGAGAGCTGTTCAGTAGTGGAACTCTCTGCCCTGGAGTGTGGTGGAGGCTCCTTCTTTGGAGGCTTTGAAACAAGAGTCTAGATGGCCGTCTCTCGGGGGGTGCTTTGAATGCGATTTTCCTGCTTCTTGGCAGAATGGGGTTGGACTGGATGGCCCACCAGGTCTCTTCCAACTCTAGGATTCTATTATTCTATTCCAGAAACTTCGTTTGTGTGGCTGTAACGGACTAGGTTGACCTGATTGAGACTTGATGAGAGATTCATTGGACAACTATTGCAAAATATGCCATAGCAGGATTATTTTTTTGCAGTTTAATAAACTTTCACCATGCTTTTATAATAGTACCAATTAGGAAATGGCATTTATAACCCAGAAACATAGTGTAATGGCTCGAAACATGGCTGCCTCCTCTTTGATGTTGTGGTGTTGTTTTCTGGGGGAGTTCCTTTTCTTGCATACACCCCAAGCATTGAGCTGAGCCTTTGTCTCGAGTCGGACCCACTTTTCTTCCAAAGCGATCTCCTTTGCTTTGATGGTGTCCATCATCCATTGTCTATGGAGGGCTCATGAATGAGGCCTATTGTGCGTCCCCAAATGCGGGCCCATCTGCTCCCAGTTATGCCTTCAAAAAAAACACCATTGAGAAAAGCATTCCTGCAGCAACGCTGGACATCTGGGGCAGGTCTTGTTGGCGTCGAGAGCTCTTCTTTTTCCTCCCGGGAAAGCAAGAAGTTAATGTAATTTAAAGACTTTGTTCCAATTGGAAGCATGCCGTCGGTTCTGATTTCCTCTCTGGTTGAAGTTTGACAAGGTATTGATCCTTTGCCACTTCACCCAATGACAACCTCCAGCAAGAGATGCCAAACTGCATTCATTCCTTAATGCGGATGCACCTACAGAAATAAGCGTCGCAGCGCACGATTTGCATCTTCCATGAGGCAAGATTAAATCAGAGGAACAAAGGATGTGGTTCAATGAGTCCTCAATGCCATTCTTCGAGCTGCAAAACCAGATGGGCTGGCCCTTTAAACACACCTCTTTGCCCAGGTGTGTCTCCATGCAAAAGAATGGCGAGACCTCACAATCTCTGAGGATGCCTGCCATAGAGGAGGGTGAAATTTTTGCGATATGTGCCATACCCATTGTGAAATGTCTTGAGCAAGTCCTTGATGTTATGCAGTTTAATACCTAATCTTTTCAGGAAGTTGGTGCACGTTAAGAGAAAGCCCGGGTGTCACTCCTCTCAGTGGGATATTTGGGGGGATTTGGGGTTTCGGAATTCCGCAAAAAGGGTTAATCTAAATAAAATAGCTTCTCTGATACAGGTTTCACTGAGATTGCGGACAATTTGAGAACTCCAAATAGGGAGCTCACCCCATCCCGTGGACTCGAACTACCAACAACGAGGAGAATAGCTCCAAATAGGGAGCTCACCCCATCCCGTGGACTCAAACTACCAACCTTTTGAGAACTCCAAATAGGGAGCTCACCTCGTCCCGCGGACTCGAACTACCGCCCTTTTGAGGACTCCAAATAGGGAGCTCACCCCATCCCGCGGACTACCAACATTTTGGTCAGCAAGTTCAGCAGCTCAGCGGTTTAACCCACTGTGCCACCGGGGGCTCCTGGTATCAATAATATAAATAATCACTTAATAATATGTCTTAATAATACCAATTCCTTAATATTAATACTTTAATATTAACAGCTTAATATTATTAATAACAGTTTAATACTACTAGTAATACCTTCAAACTGGAATATTAACCGCTTAATATTATTAATAATACCTTAATAACAGCTTAATAGTAATATAATAAATTTCCTTAATTATAATAATAATTCCTTAATAATTATTAATATTATTGCCTTAATAATACCAATTCCTTAATATTAATACTTGAATATTAACAGCTTAATATTATTAATAATACCTTATACTACTAGTAATACCTTCATACCTTAATAATAACAGCTTAATACTACTAATACATTAATAATACCTTAATAATAACAGCTTAATGCTAACAACATTAATACTTAATACTACTAATATCTTAATAACAATTCCTTAATAATGACAGCTTAAAACTTATAATAATACCTTAATACTACTAGCAATTCTTTAATAAAAATAATAAAAATAATAATTCCTTAATATTGATTAATAATATCTTAATACTAGCTCAATAATAGCTTAATACTACTACTAATAGCTTAATACTACTAATAATAGCTTAATACTACTAGTAATTCCTTAATTATAATAATAATTCCTTAATAATTATTAATAATACCTTAATCCTAGCTCAATAATAGCTTAATAGTACTAATAATAGCTTAATAATACTAATAATAGCTTAATAGTACTAATAATAGCTTAATAGTACTAATAATAGCTTAATACTACTAGTAATTCCTTAATAATTATTAATAATACCTTAATCCTAGCTCAATAATAGCTTACTAGTACTAATAATAGCTTAATAGTACTAATAATAGCTTAATACTACTAGTAATTCCTTAATAATAATAACAATTCCTTAATAATGATTAATAATACCTTAATCCTAGCTCAATAATAGCTTAATAGTACTAATAATAGCTTAATACTACTAGCAATTCCTTAATAATAATGACAATTCCTTAATAATGATTAATCCTAGCTCAATAATAGCTTAATACTACTAATAATACTACTAATAATAGCTTATTGATGACCAGGAATGATGAGAGGCCGGCTCCTCCTCCTCACCGTGGACGTCTGCGGCGAGGGCCTTCCAGGCGGGGGCGAAGGCCACGCAGTGCCCGCAGGAGGAGGAGTAGAACTGCACCAGCCAGGCCCAGGCCGCCTCCCGCAGCGCCTCCCGCACCACCGAGCCCTCCAGCACCCACACGGGGTCCACGCCGCTCTGGTACAGGCCCGCCCCGCCCGCTGCCCCCGCCGCCCACAGCCCCCCCCACAGCCCCGCCACCAGCCACCAACAACGCCCGCCGGGCTCCATCGCCGCCCGCTAGGCCTTCCCTAGCAACGCGCCGCCGGCCTTGGAGACGGGCCTCGCGTTGGGGACCCTTTTCCGCCCTGAGCCCCGCCCACCCATCTCTTCGCCCAATCCGCTGCCGAGGGAGGGAGTGGGGCGGGGCCTTGTGCGAGGAAACACGCCCACTTCTAGGACAAAAAGTAGGGAAAGGGGGCGTGGCGTCGGGCAGTTGGCCACGCCCACTCTTAACACACCACCACTGGCGGCAGGGAGAGGGCGTGGCTATGCGGTTGGTCCGGCCCACTTCTGGCACTCTAAAGCGAGGAAGGATAGTGGGCGTGGCGTTCCGCAGCTGGTCCCGCCCATTCATAGTGCATCAATTCGAGGGCGAACGAAGGGGGGCGTGACTATGCGTTTGGCCCCGCCCAATTGTATACTAAAGCGAGGCGGGAGAAGGCGGGCGCACGGAGGGGGCGTGGTTATGTTGTTGTCCCCGCCCAATTCTGGCACCCCAATGCTTGTAATGGCAAGGAGGCGTGGCGTTCCGCAGCAGGCCCCGCCCACTCAACACTATCACAAAGATGAATGGAGGGCGTGGCTATGTTGTTGGCCCCGCCCAATTCTGGCACCCAAAGCTTGTAATTGAAGGAGGCGTGGCGTTCCGCAGCTGGCCCCGCCCACTCAACACTATCACTAGTACGAACGGGGGGGCGTGACTATGTTGTTGGCCCCGCCCACAACATAGTTATAATGACAAGGAGGCGTGGCGTTCCGCAGCTGGCCCCGCCCACTCAACACTATCACTAGGGCGACCGGAGGGGGCGTGGCTATGTTGTTGGCCCCGCCCACAACATAGTTAGAATGACAAGGAGGCGTGGCGTTCCGCAGCCTGACCCCGCCCATTCCCTTATTTGGTCATTCCCGAGCGAGAGCGCCTGACAAGTCAGGTTTTAACCGCCTTTTTTTCCTTCTTAAGCCCCGCCCCACGCTGTTCACCCAATCCGCAGTCCAGTACAGCCGAGAGGCGTGGCTTCTTCGGTCTAGCCACGCCCACTTTCCTATTCTCCTCAGAGTAGGCTGCAATTGGGAATGGGTTGCATGCAGATTGCGTCAGAGTCATGTCAATATGGCACCAGGGTTGGCATTCTCTTCAGAAATAGCCTCTTGCCTTCAGGAGAAGATTTAAATTGAAGTTAATTCACTATTATTATTTAAACCCAATTGAGGAGTATTTTTCCCCCTCCATTTTTGAGGCCTGGTTTCAAATTCTGGCCAGGTCACACTTTCTCAGCCTTTTTTGTAGGCCAGAAACAAGAAAAACAACAACAAATGACAACAATTCTCTCAGAAACCAAAGAATTGACAGTTTTGAAGAACTTTCTCTTTATACAGGTGATTTTTAGGGCTTCCAAAGAACTGAAATGAACCAAAAATTCAAAAAAATTGAATAAAATCTGGCTACCAGTATTTAAAAACTATAAAACCACATCAGTAAATAAAGAAGACTCAAAAACAAGGGAACTCCAGCCAAGAAACAACCAGGGACAGCTAATCACCCCTCAACAAAGGATTCCCCCAGGCAGTAAGATGACACAGCTGAAACTGCCAGGCCATTGAATGCTGATCATAAATATAATATTGATAATATTATGTAATACTATATAATACTACTAATACTAATATATTATAATTATATATTTTATATTACATGTAATATTACAGTATAATGGTATAGTACAATATAGTAACATAATACTAACATGTTGTATACACATAATATTGATAATATAATTTACTACAATATAATAATAGTATATGTGTATGTGCATTGTGATCCGCCCTGAGAAAGGCGGAATATAAATACTGTAAATAAACAAACAAACAAATATGATAGATATATAGAGACGAGAGACAGAGCTCTAATTTTTCCTTGCTGCTCTTATCTTCTTCAAAAGAACTGAAATAAACCAAAACACCACTAAAATTTAAGAAAAAATAAAAATCAAGGAGAAAATGGGATTTTCTCTCTCTCTCTCTCTATATATATATATATAATTGTGGCTCTTTTTTATTTTTTTAGGAGCTGCTTTTTAAGCATCGCCTCACGTCGGAGTGAAAAAGATGGATGGCGGCGAAATTAAATGCAGAGTTTAACTGAGAAATAATCATTTCCGATGAAAGCTAATGACTTCTCTGGAGGCCGCCGACCGAGATTTATTGACCCGAGAGGTTAATATCGATCAAAGCCGCGGCAAAGGAAAATATGAGGCCTTGGAAGGGAGGATCATTTCGATATTGAGGCCTTGCCACTGACAGAGCAGAGCCGTATATCTGGACATTAAACGCAGAAGGTATTGAGTAATGTGTTGACTCTCTTCCCTTTCCACAGGTTTTATGTCTCTCTTTCTTTTTATTATAGCGACATCCTGGTTTTGTGTGCGTCTGCACTGTGGATTTAATGTGGGTTGACATAACTCTTACTGCCGTGGGTCAATGCTATGGGACTCTGGGAGTTGTAGTTGCACAAGGTTTTGAGGCAACCAAACGTGGTGCGAAACTGCATTACTTTTACAGTGTAGATGCACCTTTAATGGGTGTGTTTTCAATGGCAGCTTTGAGCCTGCCCTGAGAAAAATTGGGGTGCAAATTAATAATAATAATAATAATAATAATAATAATAAATTTTATTTTTATTTATTTTATTTAATTTAAATTTAATTAATTTAATTAATTTTAATTTAATTTTGGAACACAATACACCAGACATCATGATTGTGGAAAAGAAAAAAGTCTGGATTATTGATGTTGCCATACCGGGTGACAGTCGCATTGAGGAAAAACAACAGGAAAAACTCGGGAATGACCAAATCAGGACCTCAAAATTGAACTGCAAAGGCTCTGGCATCAACCAGTCCAAGTGGTCCCAGTAGTCATTGGCACACTGGGTGCTGTGCCAAAAGATCCTCTATGATTGTAGGTGAACTACAAATCCCAGCAATTACAACTCCCAAATGTCAAGATTTTATTTTCCCCATACCTCACCAGTGTTCACATTTGGGCATATTGAGTATTCCTGTAGAGTTTGGTCCAGATCCATCATTGTTTGAGTCCACAGTGCTCTCTGGATGTAGGTGAACTACAACTCCAAAACCAAAGGACACTGCCCACCAAACTCTTCCAGTATTTTCTGTTTGTCATGGTAGTTCTGTGTGCCAAGTTTGGTTCAATTCCATCGTTGGTGGGGTTCAGAATGCTCTTTGATTGTCAGTGAACTATAAATCCCAGCAACTACAACTCCCAAATGACAAAATCAATTTTTTGAGTGATGGACATACATTGGGTTGTTAGGTGTCTTGTGTCCAAATTTGGTGTCAATTCGTCCAGTGGTTTTTGAGTTCAGCTAATCCCACAAACGAACATTACATTTTTATTTATATAGATTATATTGTGTTACATTATAATATTATAAAAATTATATGTATATACAATATATTATATTATTAGTAAAGCACAGGAGACAGAACTGTCTTCTGCCCGCTCTCTCTTCACTCTGGACCAGAGAAGCAGTTGGTGCCAGGGAGATCTCCCTTTCCTTGCCCCAAAGACACATCTGCTGAGGCCAGAGGTTGCGATGGCAGATCCTCCAACCCAGGATCATCAGATAAGGAAGACAAGCCGTTTGTTGTTATGGATGCCTCTTCATCGGAAGCGTACCGAAGCTCTCCTGATTCCAGGAAGACAAGTTCTTCAGGTGGAGAGGGGAAGTCTGAAAGGCTGAAATCAAACCCATCAGCGTTTTCTTCAGGTGGAGCTGGAAGATCTCCACTTGGGAAGGAAACTGCAGATGGTAGATCGGTACTTCCGTACGATAACACTTCATCCAAAGGAGAAACGATTTCTTCCTCTATTCCTGGTGGATGTTCCTCACTGACGAGTATGTTATCATCTTCACTTCGCTCCTCATCTTTGGATGAGCTGACCACTCTGGATCTCATTGAGCTTTGGCTGCTCGCCGTGGGGCAATTTTGATCTTCTTCTGTGGTTCCTTCCATGATTTGGGGACATAAGGAACCATTGCTCGTTGGGTCTTCATATAGATTGGATTCGCCGATTGAATATTCCGCGTGACCCTTACTGTTATCCAAAATTAACAGCTGGTCAGAGGGATTCTGTGATTCAGAAGAAAATACTTGCATTTCGCCATCGATGGGCCTCACATCCTTCAAGGAGACCTTGGATGCGACAAGTTTGGAACAAGTTGGGTTTTCGTGGTCATCTTCTCCTTCAACTATGCTACCGATCTGTTGCTTTTTCGGGTCTTTAGGGTTGTCGCTGCATGAAACATCTTCAGATTTGGCATCTTCTTGGAAAGCCATCTTCTCTAGTTTTGAATCTTTCAAAGAGGAGACATCCCTTCCAATAACAACAACATCAGCTTGACCAGAATGGGATCTTTCCATCCCAATTGAATTGGATCTTGGGCTTCCATCACTCGATAATATAATAAAAGCAGATCTATTGATTTTTTCACTGGATGGCTTACCTTCCTGGCTGCACAGTCTCGACAGGTCAACCTGGTTTGAAGGACCACCATATATTTGAGTGTGACTTCTTCCTCCAGAAGATGGTGATGTATTTATTCCTATCCGTGGCACAGTTGGGGTTCCACAAAACATCTCATCTTGTATGATAAATTCCTCTGGAAGACTAATATCTGTATCTTGGTCCTCCTCCTCCTCTTCCAAGGACGAAGGAGAACTTCCAGAGATATTGATGAGAACAGCACGAGCTGTATGAAATCCAGACTCCAACCGGGGCTTCTCTAAGTCGAGAGAGAAACCATATAATTTGTCAGAAGGAGTTACTGGATGCGAACATTGCAATGCCGTGTCCATGGAACTGCAGAGACGTTCTTCTTTGGAATTCTTCATCAAGCCTGTATCTTGTTCTTCCTTCAACAAATAACCTGGAAAGCAAGAAAGTTTAGATGTAACTTCATACTGAGGAACTGCAATTAAAACAATTAATGAAGACACATCCATTAAAATCGGAATCCAAAAACCAGTCCAGGTCAATTTATTGCCATAAGTTGTGTGATCTCCTTCCACTTGCTGCCCACTGATCAAACACTTGGTCCCATCACCAGGTCTTGATTTTTCTTCTAAAAGAGGGAGGGGGCCAATCTGATATCTCTAGAGAGGGCGTTCCATAGGCAGGGGGCCACTGCTGAGAAGGCCCTGTCTCTCGTCCCCATCAACCGTGTTTGCGATAGTGGTGGGATCGAGAGCAGCGCCTCTCCTGAAGATCTTAAACTTCGTGATGGTTCGTGGCAGGAGATACGTTCAGACAGGTAATCTGGACCAGAACCGTTTAGGGCTTTAAAGGTTAAAACCAGCACTTTGAGCCTCCTTTGTGAAGCTCAGAGTATAAATAAACATAATAATCATAATAATTATAATAATACGCCAGAAAAAAAGTTACACAAAATGAACACATCAAACTACTCTGGGACTTCCGAATCCAGACTGACAAGAGTTTTGGAGCACAATTCTCCTGACCTCACGATCGTGGAAAAAAACAAAGTGTGGATGGTCAGTGTTGCCTTCCCAGGTGACAGCAGAATCAACAAGAAGCAACTGGAAAAGCTTTCATTATTTAAAGATTGAACTGCAAAGACTCTGACACAAACCAGTCAAGGTGGTCCCAGTGGTGATTGGCACACTGGGTGCAGTACCTAAAGATCTTGGCCTGTACTTAAAAACAACTGGCTTGGACAAAATTACCATCTGCCAGTTGCAGAAGGCCACCTTACTGGGATCTGCACACATTATTCGCCAATACATCACACAGTCCTAGACACTTGGGAAGGGTCCAATGTGTGATCAGATACAACAGCCAGCAGTGTGTCTGCTGTGGACTCACCTTGTTGTGTTTCAAATAATAATAATAATAATAATAATAATAATAATAATAATAATAATAAATCACACATTCCTAGATGCATGGGAAGTGTTCAACTTGTAATTTTGTGATACGAAATCCAACATATAGATCTCGTTTGCTGTGACATACTGTGTTTTTGTGTCAGTAAAATAACAACAACAACAATCACAAGCCTGAAAAAGTTACACAAAATGAACACATCAAACTACCCTGGGACTTCCGAATTCAGAATGACAAGAGTTTTGGAGCACAATTCTCCTGACCTCACGATCATGGAAAAAGTGTGGATAGTCGGTGTTGCAGTCCCAGGTGACAACAGAATCGACAAGAAGCAACTGGAAAAGCTTACATGAAACATGAGAATTTAAAGATAGAACTGCAAAGACTCTGGCACAAGCCACTTAAGGTGACCTCAGTGGTGAGTGGGTGCAGTGCCTCAAGACCTTGGCCTGCACTTAAAAACAATAAGCACTGACTAAATCACCACCTGTCAGCTGCAAAAAGCTACTCTATTCAGATCTGCACGCATTATTCGCCAATACATCACACAGTCCTAGACACTTGGGAAGTATCCGACTTGTGATCCAATACAACAGCCAGTATGGCGTGGACTCATCTTGTTGTGTATCTAATAATAATAATAATAATAATGATAATGATGTATTGTTGAAGGCTTTCATGGCTGGAATCACTGGGTTGTTGTAGGTTTTTCGGGCTATATGGCCATGCTCTAGAAGCATTATCTCCTGACGTTTCGCCTGCATCTATGGCAGGCATCTATAGCCCGAAAAACCTACAACAACTCAATAATAATAATAATAATAATCATAATAATAATAATAATCACCTTGAAGCAGCTTTCCTCATTATTCCACCCTCATGACTTCCAAAAAATATCTTATCTGTTACATTTCTATGTATTTTCCATGTGCCAAAGGCAGATCTAAGCAATGAAAGTCAACACATTCATTGGAGATATTACAATAATTACCGATTATTTTCACTTTTCGCTCACTCTGGGTGGATTTCAAAATGCTTTTGGCTGAAATGAGACATGGAACCAAACTGGGGCTTAAAGAAATTTAAAGTATGCTACATTTTGTTTTAAAAAATATTATATGGAGGACAACTACGATGTACTTATTGCTTAGGACTTTGGGGCAAGTTTCATTCATTAGTGCTATTATTTTTATTAGCCTGCGCCGTTCGTTATTGACTATGCTGGGGTTTTGTGTGTGTTGCAGTTTTCCTTTTAACGGCTTAAATGATATTTCATTAGGTTAAAATGGTGCGAACGAGAGCAGTTACTCAGAATTATCACCGCCGGCATCAAATTTATAATTCGCTCCGATGAAGTGTCGGTAGGACTATATAAATTACCCCGGTGTCTCATCTGCAAGGCCTGGATGTGCTTCTCCTGAGAAGAAATATGAACGGAGGATAAAACCAAGGAACCCAAATCTCTCCCGTCTGGGGCGATCTCCAGCTGATAAATGTGACTTCCCCCCCTTTTCTTAAAAGAGAATGCAGCCTCTTAAATTATGTCAGAAAGATCACATTTTTTAATAGCGCAATCAGGATAAGTTATGATTTTGTTCCGGAAAGCCCTTCCGTAATCGTATTCCCCGGTAAACCTTGGAAGGCTCTCTTTAACATCTTGGCTCTCGGGTTGATTTATGCCATCGGGACGTTCCTCAAGTAATAATAATGGAGGAGAAGGTTGCCTCCCCCCCACCCCCGTTGGTATTAAAGCCTGAGCAAAAACCGCAGGAGCAAATTGGACGTAATGGTTATCTCCGATCTAATTTATTCCCTCCTCGAGGACCGCAAAGGAGAAGGAAGGCGGTTTGATACCACTTGAATGGCTATGTCTCAATGCGATGGAGATCCGGCTTGGCAAAGGAGAAGGCGGAAGTCTTTGTGAAACTACCGCTCCCAGGATCCCGTTTCCTGGGGTGAAAGGCACACATCGAAATTTGCAAAGAAGGAACTGAACATTGAGGTTTCTGCCAATTTTCTAACAACGAAAAGGACTGCCAGATCTACAGCTTAATGGTTTATGGATTGAGCTGTGGTTGCTTATTCGTTCGGTCATTTCCAACTCTTGGTGACCTTACAGCATCATCTTCCTTCACTCAGTTCAGCTGGGATCCCGTCATCTCCTGCTGCCTTGTTGTTAGCAATGCTTCTTAAGGCCCATTCAACCTCACTCCTCAGGATGTCTGGTTCTAATTCACACCATTAAAACTATCCTCGATATTATTATCTTTCCTATACAGCATATGGATATCCTATACAATTTATTATGATCCACACAGTCAAAGGCTTTAGATAGTCAATAAAACAGACATAGATGTTGTGGCTTGAGCTAGAACTATAGAAGATGAGCGTTTGAATCCTTCTTCATGTGGGTGCTCCGGGGCAAATTACACTCTCTCAGCCTCAGAGGAAAGCAATATCCGATTTACTTGAATCTTATGCTCGCCTTTTTAGGGCTAAATTATCTCACCAAAATTACGGTACGCATTAGAGTCTCTATATACGGTCATACTTTGTCCTTATATCATACTTACCTTCGGTTTCCTTAGGTCCTGCATCCGTTAGGGTTGAATTTATGGGGTATTCTCTGCGGAAATGCAAGTCCTTGTCTGTAGTAACACCCGTCTTCTCCGCGTCTGGAACTAGTTGCTTCTTTTGGGGGAATTTGCCTGCCTCTTCCATCAAGCTTTCTCCTGTCTTCCCACAAAGGCTGCGAAGAAAAGACTTCAGTTCACCATTTGGGAAAAAAGATTTGTATAGATTTGTTCCATAATACAACACATTTCTCATCGAGAGAATACATGAAATGGCTATTAGGAGGGAAGGGAGTTAAGTTAGGAAGTTGATCACAAAGTTGTGCTAGAGGAGCTAGAAATTCCTAGAGGGTCTTGTAGTTTGGCTTCAAACTACAAGAAAGGAGATTCCACCCGAACATGAGGAAGAACTTCCTGACTGTGAGAAATGTTCAGCAGGGGAACTCTCTGCCCCGGAGTATGGTGGAGGCACCTTCTTTGGAGGCTTTTAAACAGAGGCTGGATAGCCATCTGTCGGGGGTGCTTTGTATGCAATTTTCCTGCTTCTTGGAAAAATGGGGTTGGACTAGATGGCCCATAAGGTCTCTTCCAACTCTATGATTCTGTGATTTTAAAAAATCAAATCCACAAAAAAGGCTGGGAAGCAAATGTATCGCTGTCTCAACCACTCCTTTGGATATATATTGGCTTTGGGAGCAGTTCACAAAACAGAGGTGCTCAATCTGGAAGAGATTTTGGTGCATTTTTTAATGTTTTAGAATGGACCCATTATTTAATGCTTCTTAATGTTTGCATCATCATCATCATCACCATCATCATCATTATTTACTGTATTTATATACCACCATTCTCACCCTTGGGGTTTACAATATTGTAATGGCAAAAATTCAACCTCAACATCCAATAATATGAATATAATAAAAATATAATAATAATAATAATAATAATAATAACACAAACTGTATCTCAAAGAGATTAAATAAATATACATACAATATAATTTGTACATATGAATATTATATAAATGTAATATGAACATAATAGGTAAAGGTAAAGGTTTTCCCCTGATTAAGTCCAGCGTGGTGCACATCTCCATTTCTAAGCCGAAGAGCCAGCGTTGTCCATAGACACCTCCAAGGTCATGTGGCCAGCATGACTTCATGGAGCACTGTTACCTTCCCGCCGGAGCGGTACCTATCGATCTACTCACATTTGCATGTTTTCAAACTGCTAGGTTGGCAGAAGCTGGGGCTGACAGCGGAAGCTTACGCCACTCCCCGGATTCAAACCTGCGACCTTTCGGTCAACAAATTTAGCAGCTCAGCGCTTCAACCCACTGCGCCACCAGGGGCTCCTTATGAACATAATACAAACATAATAATAATAATAATAATAATAATAATAATAATAATAATAAATGAACGTGACTCACTCTGCAGCTGAGATAAATAAATAAAAATTAAGATATAATATATTATAATATCTTATAATATGAACATAAGATGAATATGGTATGATGTAAGTACAATATATATATATGTATATATACATAACATAAATATGAAAATTATAATAAATAATATAATATAAGCCACTTTGCATCTCAAAGGGACAAATAAGTGAAAATGTGAACATAATGTGAATATAGCAGTAATATAACATAATATAAGTGTAATATGATAACAACAATAATAATATATTGCATTCAAATTAATTCAGCTATTTTAATATATGGCATAAGCTACTTTGGGTCCAATTTGGAAGAAAAGCAGGACATAAACGAAAGCAAAGTGCTTTTGGTCAACTGGGTTTGGACTAGATGGTCCCTTCCAACTCAGGGATTTGGTGATTCTGACTGATGATATGCGATGACTTCTCTGTCTGTGGGGCAAGGAATCCACACTGTATTTTAAAGCTGGATTGTAGGGGATCGGTCCAGATTTATAGATTCTTTGCCTTGGATAGTATCATTTTGCTCTTCTGTTCTATATCCACGAATCTTGGGGGGGTTTCTGGAAGGTACCAAGGGCCCACTGCATTGTCCTTCAACAAGAATGGAGCCGGCAAGATAAATAATGGCCCTTTTGGACCTTGGCCCCCAGAGCGAAAAGGACCACGAAGGCTTCCTCTCCATCAAAAGGAACGAAAGCGAAGCCGGCAATCCTTTCTAAAGGCCCCCAGTGACCGATAATCAATAGCAACATGAATTATAGATCAGTTTCATGCAAAGATTTATCCGAGAGCGCCTCCGTTTGCCAAACACAGTTGGCCTCGCGGTCACCCGCCAGGCTTCTCTATGGGAACTGACAGCGTCCAAGGAGGATTCGTGGCACGTTTCCAAAAGGATTTGCTTGACAAAACCAGTGACGAAAGGAGGAAGAGGAGACAGACAGGCTTAGTAGCCAAAGCGAGAAGCAACGCTTGAAATCTTACTTACCGGCCCATTTATGTCAGATAAGCGAGACTCTACTGTATAGAGTATGCATATGGATGACAACGTCGTCTGTGCGCACTCAGAAGAAGACCTACAAGCCACTTTAAACACCTTCGCAGAAGCATACGAGAAGCTTGGCCTGTCATTGAACATCAAGAGAACCAAAGTGCTGTTCCAGCAGTCACCAGCCAATCCCTCTACAAAACCGAGATCACAACAACATCTGTTATAGAACTCCAATATGCTGATGATAACATAGTCTGTGCACACTCAGAAGAAGACCTACAGATCACTCTAAACACCTTCGCAGAAGCATACAAGAAGCTCGGCCTGTCATTGAACAGCGAGAGAACCAAAGTACTCTTCCAGCAGTCACCAGCTAATTCCTCTACAAAACCGAGATCACAACAACATCTGTTATAGAACTCCATCATATGCTGATGATAACATAGTCTGTGCACATTCAGAAGAAGACCTACAAGCCACTCTAAACACCTTTGCAGAAGCATACGAGAAGCTCAGTCTCTCATTGAACATTGAGAAAACCAAAGTGATCTTCCAGCAGTTACCAGCCAATCCCTCTCCAATGCCAGAGATACAGCTTAATGGTGTAACATTAGAAAAAGTTGACCATTTCCGCTCCCTTGGCAGCCCCCTATCCACAAAAGTCAACATTGACACTGAAATACAACACTCCCTGAGCTCTGCGAGTGCAGCATTTTTCTGAATGAAGCAGAGAGTGTTTGAGGACCGGGATATCCGTAGGGAGACAAAGGTGCTTGTTTATAAAGCTATTGTCCTCCTTCCTGTTGGAGGACAGGAAAAAAGATTTAAAGATGGGCTCAAAGCCAAGCATAAAAACTCTAGCATAGACACTGAGAACTGGGAAGCCCTGGCCCTTGAGCGCTCCAGCTGGAGGTCAGCTGTGACCAGCAATGCTGTAGAATCTGAAGAGGGCGAAAGAGAGAAACGTGCCAAGAGGAAGGCATGTCAAGCCAACCCCGACTGGGACAGCCTTCCACCTGGAAACCGATACCCTCACTGCGGGAGAAGATGCAGGTCAAGAATAGGGCTCCACAGTCACCTACGGAACCACCCTGGAGGATTGTCCTACTCAGACAACGAGGGATCACCTAACGTTAGGCGTAGGGACCCCACTTGCCTCGTTTCCAACAGACCTCACAACCCCTGGGGATGCCTGCCGTAGATGTGGGTGAAATGTCAGGAGAGAATGCTTCTGGAACGTGACCATAAAGCCTGGAAAACTCACAGCAACCTTCTGGGGAAATGGCCAAATGGGTTTTGTTCAATGGACAACAATTGGATAGAAAAAGTGTTGCTATTTGCACCCTCACTTATTTGCACTGACCAACTTCATGCCTTACTTGTTTGCATCCACACTTTCTTGTGCTCTTCTTGAGCTTGAAACAACGAGGGGAGCCTGAGCGCCTTGTTTCTGGGTACTATGAATCTCCTGGAGGGATTTCCTCACTCTCTCATCCAGCTCTTTCCACATTTGTTGGGTTGCCGCCTGCACGGCCAAGAGCTTCCTTTGCTGCTTCAAGAGGAGTTTCCTCTCCCGGTGAGCCGAGCGGCAGATGTTCTGCAGGTGCCGGAGCTCCGCCTGCAAAACAAGGAAAGGAAGCCACGAAAAGATCCGGTACAGAATGCACACATTTGGAAAGGAGGGTTGATTGAGTGTGCATTGGTCTGGAAATAAATAGATACACATTGCATTACCTGCTCTTGCTTCAGTCTGGTGAGCAAAGCGGACTGTTTCTCAGCTGCGGCCTGCAAGCTGTCCTGACGGCTGAAAAGGGAAAATGGACATTGGATATAATATGAGTGACACTCTCACTGGAGCATTGCAGCGCACCCAAATACCTGGGAGTCACTCTGGACCATGCTCTGACCTACAAGAAGCACTGCCTGAATCTCAAGCAAAAAGTGGGTGCTAGAAACAATATCATACGAAAGCTGACTGACACAACCTGGGGATCACAACCAGACACAGTGAAGACATCTGCCCTTGCACTATGCTACTCTGCTGCTGAGTATGCATGCCCAGTGTGGAACACATCTCACCACGCTAAAACAGTGGATGTGGCTCTTAATGAGACATGCCGCATCATCACGGGGTGTCTGCACCCTACACCACTGGAGGAATTACACTGCTTAGCCGGTATTGCACCACCTGACATCCGCCGCGAAAGGACCAAGGCAGTGACATCTCCAGCCCACCCTCTGTTTGGGTATCAGCCAGCACATCAACGACTTAAATCAAGAAATAGTTTTCTAAGATCTATAGAGAAACTCACTGGAACACTTATTATTATTATTATTATTATTATTATTATTATTATTATTACTATTATTATTATTATTATTATTATTATTATTATTACTATTTTACTGACACAAAAGCACAGTATGTCACAGCAAACGAGATCTATATGCTGGATTTCGTATCACAAAATCACAAGTTGAACACTTCCCATTATTTTTTATAATTAAATAATAATAATAACAACAACAACAACAACAACAACAACAACAATAATAATAGATTTTTAGGTTTGTTCTTAAGCTGAATTTGTTTGTAAGTCAAAACAGGGACCTTTATTAAGTGTAACTCTAGCCAAATATATATATATCTCTGCACTCCAGACTTTTCTTGAAGTGCCTGCCACACAAATGGTGCCACAAGCCATTCGTTGTTATGGATGCCTCTTCAGTCCTAGACACTTGGGAAGTGTCCGATGTGTGATCCAATTCAACAGCCAGCAGAGTGTCTGCTGTGGACTCATCTTGTGGTGTTTCAAATTATTATTATTATTATTATTATTATTATTATTAATATAGTTCATAACTTGGAGTCTGCCTGTATCTGAAAGGAGGAGCCTTGCTTTCTGCTGCCCTACAGAGCTGGAGATGTTTAGCTTGGAGAAGAGAAGGCTCAGAGAAGGAAGGGGATGTGACCCGGACTGTTCCTCGCCTCTCCTCGTGTTCCAGCCAGGCCAGTTCAGCCCTGGCTTTCTCCTGGAGGGCCTTTTCTCTCAGCCTGAAGAGCGCGCTCTGGTGCCGGCCTCTCAGCTCCTCTTCCCGCAGGTACTGCTCCACCAACTTCAAGCCAAAGCGGCGAAAGCTATCAGAGCTGCCGTAGAACTGGCTCATGTCGCTCCACTGGAAATGGAAAGTGGAAAGATTTGTTCGCGAGTAACCAAGAAGTCCAGGTTGTGCGCTCATGGTTGGGCCGAAGAGGGAATTACTTGGTACCTGTTTGCATGACAAGCAACATCAGCTAAAACAGATACAGGATGGGTGACGCCTGGCTCGAAAACAGAGATACATAGGAAAGAGATCTTGGAGTTTTCCTGGTCCGCAAACTGAACATGAGCCAAGAGTGTGATGCAGCAGGTCAAAAAGCCAATGGGATTTTGGGCTGCATCAGAAGGAGTCTACTGATTGAGGGAAGCTATGGTGCCTCTCCATTCTGCTTTGGTCAAATCTCTTTACCTGGAATACTGTGCCCAATTCTGGGCAAGCAGTTCAATGGGGATATTGACTCTACGCTAGAAGGTGTCCAGAGGAGGGCAACTAAAATGATCAAATGGTCTGGAGATTATGAATCCCTATGAAGAGCATCTTAAAGAACTATTTAGCCTCCAAAAGAGAAGTCTGAGAGGAGATATGAGAGTTATGTTTAAATACCTGAAAGGATTTCAAAAGAAAGAGGGAACAGGCTTGTTTTTGGAGACTAGGACTCTAAGGAGCCATGAGTTCAAATGACAGGAAAGGAGATCCCACCTGAAACTTAGGAAAAACTTCCTGACTGTAGGGAGAGCTGTTTAGCAGTGGAACTCTCTGTCTCAGAGCGCAATGGAAGCTCCTCCTGTGGAGGCTTTTAAACAGAAGCTGAACAGCCGTTTGTCATGAATGCTTTGATTATGGCTTTCCTGCATGGCAGAGGGTTGGACTACATGGCACAAGTGATCTCTTCTAACTTTTTTTTTTTTTGTCGAATCAGGAGCAACCTGAGACTGCAAGTCGCTTCTGGTGTGAGAGAATTGGCTGTCTGCCAAGACATTGCCCAGGGGGCGCCCAGATGTTTTGATGTTTTATCATCCTTGTGGGAGGCTTCTCTCATGTCCCCACATGAGGAGCTGGAGCTGACACAGGGAGCTCATCTGCGCTCTCCCCAGATTCAAACCTGCGACCTATCGGTTTTCAGTCCTGGGGTTTCTAACTCTATGATTTTATGATTGCTCCTTGTAAACCACCATTATATGGCACAGGAGCCCTCTCTGGTTTCCAAAATGGCAATCCCACCAGGAAAACACTGGCAAAGATGAGATCCACAAGGCGAAATGTGAGAAGCGGGAAACCTTGTACCTGGCTGGTGGGATCCACTGGATCGCTCCCATCACACACCTCTTCCTCCGCTTTCTTGAGGGGGATATTGCCAGAAGAAAAGGACAGGCGCCGTTGAAGGAAGCTATCACCACAATATCCTGGTTGAAGTTCTAGAAAGAGAAAAAAAACCAGTATTTCATTTGAGATGGCCTCAGTTTTATTTATTTCCTGCCAATTGGAAAAGTTTCCTCATTTTCCTGAGCTTTTGGAATCCAATATCTTCTTACAGTCTTGTATGATTAGTTTATACAACTCAGTTTTTTTTCCCCATGTCAGAAGCTACTTGAGAAACTGCAAGTTGCTTCTGGTGTGAGAGAATTGGCTGTCTGCAAAGACATTGTCCAGGGGATGCACAGATGTTTTGATGTTTTATCCTTGTGGGAGGCTTCTCATGTCCCAGCATGGGGAACCGGAGCTGACAGAGGAAGCTCATCTCCGGATTTGGATTCAAACCTGCAACCTGGATTCGAACCTTCAGTCCTGCTGGCACAAGGGTTTAACCCATTGTACCACCCCGTTAGCTTGCTTTGTTCTTGCATTGTATTTGAATAGTTGAGGAGATCAAGGTGCTTGTTTATAAAACTATTGTCCTCCCAACCCTGCAATATGCCAGTGAAACGTGGACTGTCTACAGATGTCACATTGAACGCTCAACAACATCTCTTATGGAACTCCAATATGCTGATGACAATGCAGTCTATGAGCATTCCAAAGAAGACCTACAAGCCACTCTAAATACAAGCATATGAGAAACTCGGCCTCTAATTGAACACCCAGCACTCACCAGCTAATCCCTCTCCAATGCCAAAAATAACAGCTTAATATTAAAAAATATTGTCCATTTCCACTCCCTTGGCAGCCACCCCTCCACAGAAGTCAACACTGACATTGAAATACAACGCCGCCTGAGCTCTGTGAGTGCAGCATTCTTCCAAATAAAGTAGAGAGTGTTTGTGGACCGGTACATTCGTAGGGAGACCAAGGTGCTTGTTTATAAAGCCATTGTCCTCCCAACCCAGTTATATGCCCGTGAAACGTGGACTGTCTACAGATGTCAACACAGTCTGTGAGTATTCTGAAGAAGACCTACAAGCCACTCTAAACACAAGCATATGAGAAACTCGGCCTCTAATTGAACATCCAGCACTCACCAGCTAATCCCTCTCCAATGCCAAAAATACAGCTTTATATTAGAAAATATTGACCATTTCCGCTCCCTTGGCAGCCAGCTCTCCACAGAAGTCAACACTGAAATACAATGCCGCCTGAGCTATGCGAGTGCAGCACTCTTCTGAACGATGCAGAGAGTGTTTGTGGACCGGGACATTCGTAGGGAGACCAAGGTGCTTGTTTATAAAGCCATTGTTCTCCCAACCCTGCTCTATGCCCGTGAAATGCGGACTGTCTACAGATGTCAACGCAGTCTGTGAGTATTCTGAAGAAGACCTACAAGCCATTCTAAACACCTTTGCAGAAGCGTTGTTTGTAAGCCGCCCTGAGTCCCCCCTCGGGGGTGAGAAGGGCGGGGTATAAGTAATTGAAATAAATAAATAAAAATAAATAAGAAGCTTGGCCTCTAATTGAACATCCAGCACTCACCAGTTAATCCCTCTCCAATGCCAGAAATACAGCTTAATGGTGTAACATTAGAAAATGTTGACCATTTCTGTTCCCTTGGAAGCCACCTCTCCACAAATGTCAACATTGACACTGAAATACACCGCCTGAGCTCTGCGATTGCAGCATTTTTCCGAATGAAGCAGAGAGTGTTTGAGGACCGGGACATCCATAGGGATGTCCTCCCAACTCTGTTATATGCCTGCGAAACGTGGACTGTCTACAGAAGTCACACTCAACTCCTGGAACGATTCCATTAGCGTTGCCTTCGGAAAATCCTGCAAATTTCTTGGGAAGACAGGCAGACAAATGTCAGCGTGTTGGAAGAAGCAAAGACCACCAGCATTGAAGCGATGGTCCTCCGCCATCAACTCCGCTGGACTGGCTACATTGTCCGAATGCTCAAAGGAGTTACTTGACTCCTGACTCGAAAACAGAACGTTGGTGGACAGGAAAAGAGATTGAAAGATGGGCTTAAAGCCAACCTTAAAAACTGTGGCATAGATACTGAGAACTGGGAAGCCCTGGTTCTTGAGCATTCGAACTGGAGGTCAGCTGTGACCAGCAGTGCTGCAGAATTTGAAGAGGCATGAATGCAGGGAGAAACGTGCCAAGAGGAAGGCATGTCAAGCCAACCCTGACTGGGATGGACTTTCACTTGGAAACTGATGTCCTCACTGCGGGAGAACATGCGAATCAAGAATAGGGCTCCACCGCCAAGACACTGCACTTGGAGTACCATCATTTTCGGACAATGAGGGACCATCAACGTAAGTTGCCTAAGTAATACGGAATGGTTTGTTTTGCAGTTGCATTGCCCAGCTTTGTTATTCCTCCTTCCCTTTGTGTGCATTTGGCAGGACCTGTTGCTTTTGCTTGTTCGACTGTCAAATTGCCCTGTACTTTTGCTAGAACTATACAGATAAACAACAGAAAGCATTGTGTTTACAAAGAGAGAACGCTGTGTCCTTGAACTAAATTCATTCAGGAGCAGCTTCCAGTTTCAAATTCCAACTCCGCTGAAAGGATATGTATTTATCACCATTTATTTTCTTTCAAACGAGCGAATGGCACCCTCTGATGGCCAAAAATATCTGGATTTATTTTTTTTGTGACTTGAGAAACTGCAAGTCGCTTCTGTTGTGAGAGAATTGGCCGTCTGCAAGGATGTCGCCCAGGGGACGCGTGGATGTTTTGATGTTTTCCCATCCTTGTGGGAGGCTTGTCTCATGTCCCCGCATGAGGAGCTGGAGCTGACAGAGGGAGCTCATCCACGCTCTCCCCGGATTTGAACCTGCGACCTGTCGGTCTTCAGTCCTGCTGTTCAGGTGAATTTGGGATTTCTGGAATTGACGATTGATTAGCTCTATTTGATTTTCTGCCAGTGGCAAATGATTTTCTTGGGATGCATGCTCCTTTGATGGGTCTCCGAACGCACCAAAAAAGGCCAAACCGACCCTTCTTTCTCGATCTGTCCTGAGTGGATGGCAATTACTCTCCTCGGGCCATGATCTACCTGATGATCCCTTGTTGTCGTGTTTCCTTTGACCCCGAGTTCCATCTGCTGTCTGCTCAAGAGACACAAAAGCAATTCCATTTCGCCTAGCTTTTGTCTCCCTCTTAACCAGAGTTTCTCAACCTTCCTAATGCCGTGACCCCTTAATACCGTTCCTCATGTCGTGGTGACCCCCAATCATAACATTATTTTTGTTGCTACTTCATAACTGTAACTTCACTACTGTTACAAGTCATAATGTAGATATCTGATATGCAGGATGTATTTTCATCCACTGGACCAAATTTGGCATTTGGCAGTTGTAGTTGATTTTTGTCATTTGGGAGTTGTAGTTGCTGGGATTTATAGTCCACCTACAATCAAAGAGCATTCTGAACTCCACCAATGATGGAACTGAAACAATTTTAGCACACAGAACTTCCATGACCAACAGAAAATACTGGATTGGTTTGGTGGGCACTGATCTTGAGTTTTGGAGTTGTAGTTCACCTACATCTAGAGAGCACTGTAGACTCCAATAGACCTTGACATTTGGGCGTTGTAGTTGCTGGGATTTATAGTTCACCTACAATCAACGGCGCTCCATGCAGTCATGCCGGCCACATGACCTTGGAGGTGTCTACGGACAACGCTGGCTCTTCGGCTTAGAAATGGAGATGAGCACCACACCCCAGAGTCAGACATGACTGGACTTAATGTCAGGGGACTACCTTTACCATTACCTACAATCAAAGAGCTTTCAGAACCCCACCAACAATAGAATTGGACCAAACTTCCCACACAGAACCCCCATGACCAACAGAAAACACTAGAAGGGTTTGGTGGGCATTGAGTTTTGGAGTTGCAGTCCACCTACATCCAGAGAGCAGTGTGGACTCAAACAATGATGGATCTAGACCAAACTTGGCATGAATACTCAATACGCCTAAATGTAAACACTGCTGGAGTTTGGGGGAAATAGAGCTTGACATTTGGGAGTTGTAGTTACTGGGATTTATAGTTCACCTACAATCAAAGAGCATTCTGAACCCACCAACAATAGAATTGGGCCAAACTTCCCACACAGAACCCCCATGACCAACAAAACATACTGTGTTTTCTGATGATCTTTGGCGACCCGACTGACACTCCCTGGCGACCTCTCCAGGGGTCCCGACCCCCAGGCTGAGAAATGCTGCTCTTAACCATCCCTTCTCTGGTGGCGACACAGGCCGCGGCAGGTTTTCCCATAGCCTGGCATCTGACCGAACTACAAATCCCATGTCAGGGCATCCCAGCCAAGACTGGGACTCTCCTTTTTCCTCCAGTGGGCTTAAGCTGGTGCATAGAACTTTCTACATTTCTACATTACAACATTAGCCTTTTCTACTTTATCCAAAAACCCTGCAAAGTTTGCCAAAAATATTTGCCATGCCCAGCTTACCCGGTTGCTTCTTGACGCTGCCTTCTTCCATCTCCATGTTTTGGTGGGGACCAGTCTGAGCCTGACAATCGCTAAATGAACCAATATGGGTCCTGAAAGGAAGGAGAAGCGTAGTAAACACATGATATAATATATTATTATTACTATTATTATTTGATACACAACAAGATTAGTACACTGTGCTGTCTTTCGTATTCAGTCACACGTTGGACCCTTCCCAAGTGTCTAGGACTGTGTGATGTATCGGTGAATAATGTGTGCAGATTCGAGTAGGGTGGCCTTTAGGGTAATTTTGTCAGCACCAATTGTTTTTAAGTACAGGCCAAGTTCTTGAGGCACTGCACCCAGTGTGCCGATACTGTTTACCCACACGCATAAAGACATATATTAGAAATCAACACCTCATTATTTTCCAGATCACTAGACTGGGTCACAGCAATGCGTGGCAGGGGACAGCTAATAATAATAATAACAATAATTATAATACCATGGAAGAGGTCCCCAAGACTCTTGGTAATCTCTAGGGTTGCCCTCGAAACCGACTTGATGACAACATGGAAAATCCTACCCGCCGAACATCGCGGGCGGATTTGAGCTAAAAGCATCTTCTTTGGTCCCAAGGACCTGAAAACTCCCCGTTTTTTCCCCCTCCGCCCAGATTAGCTCAACAGATTAGCGAGGAAAAAGCGTGAAAACAGACACAAAATTGGACATTTACGGAACCAGCGGAGGCTGAAAGCGACAAGATGAAATCGCAGCAGATGTTCCTCCGATAAGAGGAACGAGAAAAAAAAAAGAAAGAAAGAAAAGAAAATGTTTTTATTTCATCGGCAATCTGCTTAGATGAAATCTCATTTCATTCCTCCCACCCAAACACACCCGCTTACGCGCATTAATAAGCTGCTTTTGCTTTGTTTTCCTTTCCACCGAATGACCCAGAAACGGCAAGACACAGTAGGTGAGAGTCATCTGTCAGGATGTTTTGGGAGAAAAAGGAAAGATTGACAGCTTTACGGACAAAGTCTAAGCTAAAGAGGGCAGAAATCAGCACTTGGTTATGGTTTCTCTGTTTGTGGTATCCACTTGTGGGACTACAACTCCCAAAATCCCCAAGAAAAGGGGTTCCTCCAACTCTCCCTTCACGTTATGTTTATACTGTACTTGTACCATCTATTTAAATAAAAAAATGTAATGTTTGTTTGTGGGATTAACAGAACACAAAAACCACTGGGTGAATTGACACCCAATTTGGACACAACACACCCCACAAACGAACATTACATTTTTATTTATATAGATACTAGCCGTCCCTTGCCACGCGTTGCTGTGGCCCAGTCTGGTGATCTGGAAAAGTAATGAGAAAGTGTTGATTTCTAATATATGTGATGTCTTGATGCTTGTGGGTAAACAGTATTTTTTGCTGTTTCTTTGTCAGTGTTGATACGGAGAGTGTCTGGTTTGCCCACCCTGGAGCATGCAACGTATCATTGTCCTTCTCTAGGGGTCCCTTTCATATCTATAATACTATCTCTCTCTGTGTGTGAATCATATCTATCTATCTATATCTATGGCTGGATAGCTCTTTGCGAGGAGGGCTTTGGTTATGTTTTTTTGCCCTGGTGAAGGGAGTTGGACCGGGTGGCCTAAGGCAGCATTTCTCAATCTGGGGGTCAGAACCCCTGGGGGGGTCGCGAGAGGGGGGGGTGTCAGAAGGATTGGCAAAGTCTACCAGAAAACACAGTATTTTCTCTTGGTCAAGAGGGTTCTGTGTACCAATTCTGGCCCAATTCCACTGTTGGTGGGGTTCAGAATGCTCTTTGATTGTAGGTGAACTATAAATCCTGGCAGCTACAACTCCCAAATGTCAAGGTCTATTTCCCCCAAACTCCATCTGTGTTCATATTTGGGCATATGGACTATTCGTGCCAATTTTTGTCTAGATCCTTCATCGTTTGAGTCCACAGTGCTCTCTGGGTGTAGGTAAACTATAACTTCAAAACTCAAGGTCAGTGCCCACCAAACCCTTCCATTTTTTTTCTGTTGGTCATGGGAGTTCTTTGTGCCAAGTTTGCTTCAATTCCATCATTGGTGGGGTTCAGAATGCTCTTTGATTGTAGGTGAACTATAAATCCCAGCAACTACAACTCCCGAATGAAAAAAAATCATTTTTTTAGTGATGGGCACTCTTTGGGTTAGTAGGTGTCTTGTGGCCAAATTTGGTGGCAATTCATCAAGTGATTTTTGAGTTATGTTAATCCCACAAACAAACATTACATTTTTATTTATATAGATAACTAGCCATGCCCTGCTACACATTGCTGTGGCCCAGTTTTGTGTGCATATATGTCTATATGTGTATATATGTGCATGAATTGTAATGTATTTTATTGTTTTGCTTTTAAAGTCCCTTCCACTGTGTTTTTCCTTGTTTTTTGAGTGATGGCCACTCGTTGGCCCGATAGGTGTACTGTGTCCAAATTTGGTGTCAATTCGTCCAGTAGTTTTTGAGTTATGTTAATCCCACAAACTAACATTACATATTTATTTATATAGATTGTTGAGGCATCAAATTGTTGCCAATTGTGAACTGCTCCAAGTTTCTTCTGAGCTGAGAGGGGTGGTATATAAATGTGGTAAATAAACACCTCAGCAAGCGAGAGTCCAAAAGTGGCAGGCGAATGAGAGACTCCCTCCTGGGCACACAGAAGAGTGAACAACCTAGAAGGCACTGAACAGACCGCCATGACCTTGGAGGTGTCTATGGACAAAGATGACTTATTGAGGAAGAGAATTGCTTTTTTTCCAGCTCTTCCAGAGACTAGGACGCAAAGGAGAAATGGATTTGGATGGTAGTATCCCACTTAAATTCCTGGTGTTTGAAGCTCTTCCAGAGATGAATGCAGTGCCTTGCCGTCAATGTATTGTGTGGTTTCTCCTTTTGCACAGAGAGCGAAAACCACGGCCGCTGTAAATAAATCTACGGGATCCAATTGGTTAAATCTCTCGTTAAGCCACCGCAGAAACAGGATCAACGGGGTTTTAAGTAGGTGCTCTGAAAGATAATCAATTCACTCTGGTTTTTGCCGCCGGAGCCATATGCTTTCACCGGGAATGGAGAGGTGGGTGAGAAAAATGGGAAAACGAGAGGCCCCGCATAGCTTGGAGAGGGATCTTTTCAGACTGCGGACATTCAGTCAAGTCCTAGAGTCAGAGGGGGACCACAAAGGCCATCCAGACGAATTATTCCATTTGACGTGCAGCCTTAACAATCGTCAACTTGCGACCTATTGACTTGAGATGTCCCCAGAGCTTTAGGGTCCGTTGGTGGTCTCCCATCCAAGTCTGAACCAAAGCTGACCCTGCTTAGCTTGCAAGATCAAGCAAAACTTGGTGCCTTCAAGTCATCATGTACAGACTTACGGGATTTCTTAGACAAGGAAGTCTCAGAAGTGGCTTTGCTAGTTCTTTCCTCTGAAATGGAGCCTTGTCTTCATTGGCGGTCTCCCACCCAAGTACAAACCATATCTAGCCCTGCTTAGCATCCAAGATCAGACATATAGGGTGTATTTAGAGTACTTCAGAGAGCAAAAAGAGTCAGCAAGGATGGTGAAAGAAAACATGGATTTGGAGTTTCCTTTTTGGGATTGCAGCTCCCAAACGACATGGACAAGGGGTTCTGAGAGCTGTAGCCTCAATCTATATAAATAAAAATGTAATGTTTGTTTGCAGGATTGACAGAACTCAAAAACCACTGAACGAATTGACACAAAATTTGGACACTATACCCCTAACAGACCAATGAGTGACCATCACTCATAACACCCCCCCCCCCCCCCAAAGCGGAAAGGACTTAAAACCCCAAAAGCTAAATGATGAAAAGCAAAAAAAACAGAAAAGAAAGAGAAAAAAGAAAGAAAGAAAGAAAGAAAGAAAGAAAGAAAGAAAGAAAGAAAAGAAGGAAGGTGAAAGAAAGAAAGGAAAGAAGGAAGGAAGAAGAAAGGAAAGAAGGGAAGAAGGAAAGAAAGGTAGAGAAGGAAGGAAGAAAGGGTAAGAAAAAGGAAAGGAAGGAAAGAGGTAGAGAAGAAAGGAGAAAAAGAGGGATGAAAAGAAAAAGGGGGGAAGGAAAGAAAGGTAGAGAAGGAAGGAAGAAAAGGTAAGGAAAGGAAGGAATGAGGTAGAGAAGGAAGGAGAAAAAGAAGGATAAAAGAAAAGGGGGAAGGAAAGAAAGGTAGAGAAGGAAGGAAGAAAAGGTAAGAAAAAAGAAAGGAAGGAAAGAGGTAGAGAAGGAAGAAAGGAGAAAAAGAGGGATAAAAAAGGGGAAGGAAAGAGAGAAGGAATGAAGGAAAGAAAAAAGTAAGGAAGGAAAGAGGAGCAAAGGAAGGAAGAGGAAAGGAGAGAAAGAGGGAGGGAAGTTGGCCACAGCAAAGCGTGGCCTGACAGCTAGTCTATATAAATAAAAATGTAATGTTCGTTTGTGGGATTAACATAACTCAAAAACCACTGGCGAATTGACACCAAATTTGGACACGAGACACCTCTGAGGCCAACGAGTGACCATCACTCATAAAAACACTGAAAAACACAGCAGAAGAGACTTAAAAAGCCAATAAACAAAAATTACATTACAATGCATGCACAAAACCACACATATATATGCAAACACACATATACACACACGCAAAACACATAAACACAGTCTGGGCCACAGCAACGCATGGCAGGGGACGGCTAGTGGAGCAATAAATCTTTTATATAAACTCTATCTAAACTCATTGAGTTTATATATTGGTATTATAAATATGATTCCTCCTCTATGAAATTTCTCATTGGAGCCAAAGGAAAGCAAGAAATGATATCTGTGTGGGTTCATACTGCTATCTTCTGGGCATTTGTTGAACTGCATCTATTCAGTGGGATTGTTGTGATATTTATTTATTGTGTCAGAAGCGAATTGAGGATACAGTTGTATTTAAAAAAGTTTAAAACTTGGCATTATACTAAATGTCCTTTGACCAGAAGCGGGCCACTGGTGTCGCTGTAAGAAGTTTCTCCATTGTGCATGTGGCAGTGCTCAGGTTGCATTGTAATAGGTGGTCTCTGGTTTGCTCTTCTCCGCACTCGCGTGTCGTGGACTCCACTTTGTGGCCCCATTTCTTAAGGTTGGCCCTGCATCTCGTGGTGCCAGAGTGCAGTCTGCTTTCCAAGTCACCTAGTCTTCTGTGTGCCCAGGAGGGAGTCTCCCATTCGGTATCAACCATGGATTGAAGTTCTGGGTTTAAGCCTGCCACTTTTGGACTCTTGCTTGCTGGGGTGTTCCTGTTGTTTATTGTATTCTCATGTTTTATTTACTTTATTGTGTTGTTTGTTTTGTGCTCTGGTTTTATTTTATTGTAATGTACCGTTGGGCTTGGCCTCATGTGAGCCGCCCTGAGTCCCCGTTGGGGAGATGGTGGTGGGGTATAAATAAAGATTATTATTATTATAATTATACAGACATCCTGTGATAATATGGCAAGTCTCATTAAGAGCCACATCCACTTTTTTTTACTGTGGTGAGATACTGGGCATGCGTATTCAGCAGCGGATTAGTAAATTACAAAGGCAGATGTCTTAACTGTGTCTGGTTGTGATCCCCAGGTTGTGACAGTCAGCTTTCGTATGATGTCATTTCTAGCTCCCACTTTTTGCTTAATAGTCAAGCAGTGCTTCTTGTAAGTCTAGAGGAGAGCGACTAAAATGATCAAGGGTCTGGAGAACAAGCCCTCTGAGGAGCGGCTTAAAGAGCTGGCCATGTTTAGCCTGAAGAAGAGAAGG